CTCCCAGCATAAGGCGCTAGTAGATTCAGGCGCAGCTGGGAATTTCATTGATCGCCAGTTCACCTATAAGTTAGGGATTCCTATCGTACCTGTTGATGTGCCCTTCCCCATTCATGCCCTAGATAGCCGCCCGTTGGGGTCTGGGTTGATTAGGGAGGTCACGGCGCCTCTCCGGATGAAAACGCAGGAGGGTCATGAGGAGATAGTACGTTTGTATTTGATTGATTCTCCTGCGTTTCCCGTGGTGTTGGGGCTTCCCTGGTTAACAGCTCATGACCCCAACATTTCATGGCAGCAGAGAGCTCTCCAGGGATGGTCTGATCAGTGTACTGGGCGGTGTGTAGGCGTTTCCATAGGGGCAACGACGGTGGAAAGCCCGAACCAAGTTCCCGCCTTGCATATTCCACCTGAGTATGCCGATTTGGCTCTCGCCTTCAGTAAGAAGAAGGCAACTCAATTACCACCTCATCGACAGGGGGATTGTGCGATAGACCTCCAGGTAGGCGCTGCGCTTCCACGTAGTCATGTGTATCCTCTGTCTCAGGAGGAGATGGCCGCTATGGAAACCTACGTCACCGAATCATTGAGACAGGGTTACATACGGCCGTCTACTTCCCCTGCTTCCTCAAGTTTCTTTTTTGTGAAGAAGAAGGATGGGGGTTTACGCCCGTGTATTGATTATCGTGGTCTAAATCAGATCACCATCAAATACAGCTATCTTCTCCCTCTGATTGCTAGTATGACGGAGTCATTACACGGGGCGCGATTCTTCACAAAATTGGATCTTAGGAGCACGTACAACCTGGTGCGCATTAGGGAGGGAGATGAGTGGAAGACAGCATTCAGTACCACCTCGGGTCACTATGAGTACCTCGTCATGCCATACGGGTTAATGAATGCTCCTTCAGTCTTCCAATCATTTGTGGACGAGATTTTCCGGGACTTGCATGGACAGGGTGTTGTGGTATATATTGATGACATTCTAATATATTCCGCTACACGAGCCGAGCATGTGTCCCTGGTGCATCGAGTGCTTGGTAGACTGTTGGAGCATGACCTGTATGCGAAGGCGGAGAAATGTATGTTCTTCCAGGAGTCCATCTCCTTTCTGGGACATCGGTTGTCCGCGTCAGGGGTAGAGATGGAGATTGACCGCGTTTCTGCCGTGCGTAATTGGCAGACTCCCACCACCGTAAAGGAGGTGCAGCGCTTCTTGGGTTTTGCCAATTACTACCGGAGGTTTATCCGGGGCTTTGGACAGGTAGCAGCTCCCATTACCTCTCTGCTAAAGGGGGGTCCGGTGCGCCTGCAGTGGTCAGCTGAGGCGGACAGGGCGTTTAAACGTCTGGAGGACCTGTTTACCTCGGCTCCGGTGCTGGCGCATCCGGATCCCTTTTTGGCATTCCAGGTGGAGGTGGACGCTTCCGAGGCTGGGATCGGCGCTGTGCTGTCTCAGCGCTCGGGTACGGCACCTAAACTCCGCCCCTGTGCTTTCTATTCTAAGAAGCTTAGTCCGGCGGAGCGCAATTATGACGTGGGGGATAGGGAGCTGCTGGCTGTGGTTCAAGCCCTGAAGGTGTGGAGACATTGGCTTGAGGGGGCTAAACACCCTTTTCTCATTCTGACTGACCATCGTAACCTGGAGTACATCCGGGCAGCGAGGAGGCTGAATCCTCGCCAGGCAAGGTGGTCAATGTTTCTTTCCCATTTTGTATTTAAGCTCACCTATATACCAGGGTCCCAGAACGCTAAGGCAGACGCCCTGTCCCGACTATATGACACAGAGGAGAGGTCCATTGAGCCCACTCCCATACTCCCGGAGTCTTGCTTAGTGGCACCGGTGGTGTGGGAGGTGGATGCGGAAATCGAGCGGGCGTTACGTTCCGACCCTACTCCTCCACAGTGTCCAGAGGGTCGGAGGTACGTGCCGCTCGAGGTTCGCGACCGTTTGATATACTGGGCTCACACGTCACCCTCCTCTGGTCATCCGGGTATTGGTCGGACAGTGCACTGCCTTAGTGAGAAGTACTGGTGGCCAACCTTAGCTAAGGACGTGAGGGTTTATGTTTCCTCCTGCTCGGTGTGCGCCCAGTTTAAGGCACCTAGACACCTGCCCAGGGGGAAGTTACAACCCCTACCCGTTCCACAACGGCCGTGGTCTCACCTATCGGTAGATTTTGTCACGGACCTTCCCCCCTCCCAGGGGAACACTACGATCTTGGTCGTTGTGGATCGGTTTTCTAAAGCCTGCCGTCTCATTCCCCTGCCAGGTCTCCCTACTGCCCTACAAACTGCTGAGGCCCTGTTTACACACGTCTTCCGACACTATGGGGTGCCTGAGGATATAGTGTCTGATCGCGGTCCCCTGTTCAGCTCTAGAGTCTGGAGGGCATTTATGGAACGTCTGGGGGTCTCGATTAGCCTTACCTCAGGTTTTCACCCCGAGAGTAATGGGCAGGTGGAGAGAGTTAACCAGGATGTGGGTAGGTTTCTTAGGTCATATTGCCAGGACCGGCAAGAGGAGTGGTCGGGATATATTCCCTGGGCAGAGATAGCCCAAAACTCCCTCCGCCATTCGTCCACTAACCTTACGCCTTTCCAGTGTGTGTTAGGGTATCAGCTGGTTCTGGCACCTTGGCATCAGAGCCAGACCGAAGCCCCTGCGGTGGACGAGTGGTTTCGGCGCTCGGAAGAAACTTGGAACGCTGCGCACGTCCATCTGCAGCAGGCGTCAAAAGGAGAGCGCCGATCGCCACCGCAGTGAGGCTCCGGTGTATGCACCGGGAGACCGGGTCTGGCTCTCGACCCGAAACCTGCCCCTTCGCCTGCCCTGCCGGAAGCTGGGTCAGCGGTTTATGGGGCCCTTTAAAGTCCTGAGGAGATTGAACGAGGTATGTTATAGGTTACAACTGCCCAGGTATTATCGCATTAACCCCTCGTTCCATGTGTCTCTCCTCAGGCCGGTGGTGGCTGGTCCACTCCAGGAGAATGAGGTATGAAAGACTCCTCCGCCCCCGTTGGACATCGAGGGGGCTCCAGCGTACTCAGTCCGTTCCATCTTGGATTCGAGGCGTCGGACGGGGGGCCTGCAGTATCTCGTGGAGTGGGAGGGGTACGGTCCAGAGGAACGGTGCTGGGTCCCCAGGAGGGACATTCTAGATCCCTCCATGTTGAGGGACTTCCACCGGAGTCATCCGACTCGCCCTGCTCCGCGTCCTCCTGGCCGTCCCCGAGGCCGGGGTCGGCGCATGGCTGGAGCCGCGCGTCAAGGGGGGGGTACTGTCACGGAATCAGCCGAGGCTGCTCCTCCTTGCTCGGGCAGGTTTCGGTGTTCGTCGTCCCCGGAGTACTATCTGCCACCGATCTAAGTTTCGGTGTTTGATTTGTTTTGTCCTGATTGTGTACACCTGTTCCCCATTATGTTGTATTGTTTCCCCTATTTAACCCTCTGTCGTGCATTGTGTGTTGTGTGTTATTGTATTCGTCTTCGGCAGTGTTAGTGTGCGGGTTGTTTTCCTCCTTGTATGGAGATGGTTTTCTTTTGACTTCGCCTACCACATTTCACCGTCGCCACCTGACACCCTCTCTACCCTTCTCTGCCTACCAGCCCCATATATCGAGACCTTGGGACTATAAGGTTCTGTCTGCTAAATAATGATTCTGAGATAATTGGCTTTAAAGTTCCAAACCCTAATGGGTTTGAATGGTGTCAGCAATTTTTTTTATATTGTATTCTTTTGAATTTAACAACATGAATTGGGGTATTTAGAGTACTATATAGGTAGAGAACATTGAACAGAAGAAGGCTATGTCAATAACAACATTTGGACAAAGATGAATCTCTCTTTGAGTGGAGTCGGCGAGCTGTTTAAAAACGCTAGTTTTCTGTCCGAAAGTAGCATACTCTGTCTGAAGCATTTCGTTAGGAAAGCATCCGAGCTCTCAGACAACAAGGCCAATTTACATGGCTGTCTCTCAGAACCTTAGCCTCTTTTGTTTGCTCTGATGGGTAAGAAGTGGTGGAAATGGATGAGGATGCGCCTGCTGAATGAATAACTAGACATTCACAAGGTTTACCGGGGACTGTTGAGTTTTAGGTTCTTCCTGTTGATGTGTCTTTAACTTTACATAATGGCATCCTTGAATGTGTTTTTAAAACCCACAGGGTTACATTATTTTGTTAAGTGTTAGTGTAAAGGTGTAAATCAATGCTTATAACCCTCATCGCTTATTGAGATGCTTTTTTTTTTTTCCTAGCTGGGGTTTTAAAGGTCTAATAGAAAGGTTTACTCAATAAAATAGTGTCCGTTTTTACTTTGTAGTGAAATGTTTGCATGGTTGGATTCTGTACAAAGTTGGGATCGATTGAGCTCATTGTCTTTTGTTTGCTTAGGCTGTCTGGACTGCATGGGAAGCAAGCAATTAGATGCATTGAGGGGAGCCTATATGCTGTCAAGGGGGGGGAGAGATTGAAGGGGGGGGGGGGGGGGGGGGGGGGGGGGGGGGGTACAGTGGGGGGGCGGGGGTTGTTGTCCATAGGGGGGCCGGGGGGGAATAGAATGTTGGCATTATGACCTGATGACAATGCTGAGGGACAATAGTTAAAACAAGCTGGGCTATATTGCTGCATATATTAAAACACAGTATTGAATTATCTCTGTCCCACAGTTTCCAACTAGGGGATGGACATGTACAAACTGCGGTTATAGCAGTCAGCAGCCCCTCTCAGCCCTATCTCCAGCCTAGTGTGTTTGCTCAGCCTTAGCTGCTGTGGATAATTGTTGTCTGTGATATTCTCCCTCTGGACTAAATTAATTCATGTCCGTGGCAGTTTTGTAAAGCATGATTTAATACAATGGGCTTAATTGAATTGAAAATAGAAAATTGCCTTCTTAATTGAACATTGCCGTTTTTGCATTGCAAGTTTTAAAGGCGAAATCTGTGATTTTTACAGCAGTTTTGGATTATTTTAATTGATTGATATATACTACATATTTCAGATGTTTCAGGGGCTACTGGCTGTCTTTTACAACCTGGGTGACAGACCCTACAACCTCACGCTGCCCTTCCATCGCCTTGACAATGGAGAATGGCACGAGGTGGAGCTTGATCGTCATGGCAAAGAGTTCACCCTTCAATTGGATGGTGGTGGCGGAAGGCGGGAGGTCACAGCCGCTCCTGGGCGGAGTCAGGAGATAGTCATCGACCAATCAGTGGTGATGCTGGGAAACTCCTTCCCCTCAGGACACAACCGCAGCTTCCTAGGTATGGTACTGATACTGCCATCTGGTACTGACCATTAGTACTGTCCACTTGTACTGCCCCTTGGTACTGCCCCCTGTACTGCCCCCTGATACTGCCCCCTGGTACTGCCCGCTGGTACAGCCCACTAATACTGTACAATCCACCTAACTTCCACTGGCGTACCACACACCCCTCCAGCCCCCACAAGGCTGGGGGCCCACGAGCTTTGGGGGCTCAGGAGGTCGGCCCCCCAGATAGCATATGAACACGTCATAAGCGATTAAATAAAAAAAGTTAATTACACAAAATTAGCTTTAAAACGGCAAAATCCTCTCTCAGCCTCATGGAAAACTGTGTAGAATAGAGGTAAATTAGCTCAGAGATTCTTGAAAGTTGGGACAATCCTTGTCCAGCAGGGAAACTTTATTTTTATAGTTGAATTTTTTTTATTGTGTTGCATTATTTGAGCTTAAAATTTACAAACAAAATTGCTACTGTGAATACCACTTGAATGAAGAAGAATGAACTTTTTGTCAATTCAATAAAGCATGAACTCCGCAGGTTTTTGTCTTTATTGGGGATTTTTAAATGAATAATTTTCCATATTTTACAAATGTTTGTACTGAACTTTTATTGTTAGAGGCAAAAATATGTCTGTTTTGAGTATCTGTCTATTCCATCAGTGGCTTGTCAACTGCGTCACTTATGGAGGCAATATTTTTTGGTCAATATTCAGAAAATAAGTTTGAAGATTTGTATTACATATTTAAATAATGTAATGTTAGAATTAAACAATGGCCATTAACCACTTGTTGGACTATAATTGTCAAAATGAAATGCCTTTTATTATCACGGCTCAGGCTAAGACCCAGATGCAGACACAGGAGGCAGATAGTACGAGTCTCAGTGTTTAATATAGTTAAAGGGGCAGGCAAAAGATAAGTCAAGGCAGGCAAAGGGTCGTAATCCAATTCAGAGTCAGGCAGGTACAGGACGGCGGGCAGGATCAGGGTCAGGACAGGCAGAAAGGTCAGAACTGGGAAGACTAAGAAAAACTAAAACTAGAGCACAGGAAACACGGGAACACGCTGGTAGGACTTGACGGGACAAGACGAACTGGCAACAGACAAACAGAAAATGCAGGTATAAATGTACAGGGGATAATGAGGGGAGATGGGAGACACCTGGTGTAGGGTGGAGACAAGTACAAAGACAGGTGAACGAGATCAGGGTGTGACATTTATGGTGTCTGACGAAGTTGACATAAATCCAGTTAGTTACATTTTATGAAGAAAAAAATATAATTAGGAGGTTGTTCCTTTACATGGTGTGATAGATCATACTTTGGTCTATCAAAATATATACATTTCTATTACAAATTATGTAAAATTAAAACAAATATTTATGGTAAAATAGTTGAGATTGTCCAATCTTTCAAGAATCCCTGAGCTATAAAACAGCATGAGATTAGCTATAATACTTCACATTTTTCTCTCTGCCCCATGGAAGGAGAACCCCCCCCCCCCCAAAACCATACCTTGCCTTGCTTGAACCTTGTGGGGAGGGGGGCCGCAAAACTGGCTACGCCACTGGCATTTCCTATTAGTTGTTGCTACCACTCCCATAGGGCCATTAGGAAAGATTACGGATGAATGAAAGTGGTATAAAATCATGTATTATCTGTATGTGATTGGCAACACAAGACTGATGCACTGTCGTGTTTCACTCTTCTAAATCTCAAATGGTTTTAGACTCTGAGGAGGTAGGATATGGATTTAGGGCTGAGGCAGATGAAGTGTGAAGGACTTGATTCAGAAGCAGGCATGTGTCTGTCTGTATAAATGATGTGTTACGCCTCTCCCTCCCAGAGGATGGCCAGACAAACTAACAGAGTAAATATCCTCCAAAACAGAGGGCTTGCACTGACAGCTAAGCCCTGGGCTATCTCAGTGTGTGTGTGTGTGTGTGTGTGTGTGTGTGTGTGTGTGCCTGTGTGTCTGTGTTCCTCTATGCATGTGTGGTCATGTGTTTCCATCCCTTCATGAAACTTACTTAAAAGCTTTTTGCCTCAGGCCTGGTGTGTATGTCTGTGAATGTCACTTATATTGCTGTATCTCATCTCTCTTTCCCTCTCTGTGTTTTTCCTCCAGGGTGTCTGCGAGACCTGAGGCTGAACGGGCGGCCCATGCCCATTACCAAGCAGCCCTCCGTGGGGTCTGAGGGTCTGAGGGTGGTCACTTCTCAAGGGGTCTCCCCAGGTTGCCCCTCAGACGCCTGCAGGAAACACCAGTGCTCTCCCCCCTTCATCTGCATGGACCTCTGGAGGAAACATGAGTGCAGGTACATAAATGGCAGCAGGAAATCATGTAAGGAAAAACTCTTGGCTATAACTGAGGCCCAGTAAAGAAAAATCTAACGAGGTCACATGCTCAGGAATAATTGGTTATAAGCTACAACTCTTTGCTCTATGCCAGCACTGGCCACTCACTGTCCCAGTATAACAAAGAGACACAAACTTCCATTCAAGCAGAAAACATCCCCCCAGACAAGGACAGGTCAGTCGTGCCTGGACTAGATATGTAGCAGCCAAACAACTGGACAAGGCTTAGTAGTCAACAGCATGGCCTATTTTGACCTGTCCTGACCGTTACAACCCTAGCCAGGTCAGACAGGGACACTCTTCTTCTCTGACTTTCTCTCTTCTCTTTCTCTCTCATTCTCTCTATCTCTTTTGAGAATCCTAGCGGTGTGTCAACCTGAGCTGAATAAAGCCCTGTTCTAATCGTAGTGACAGGGAGTGTCTCGGCAGCAGTGTCTTAAAAGTCCCCAGGACTCCAGTGTTTCCTGTCGTACTGGCTGGGATCAGAGCGTGTGAAACTGCTCAAAGGCCTTTCATCACTATGGGATGTCCACACAGGGTACTAAGCTTGGAGAGACCATCTTCAGGAGCGGCGGAAATATACTGACAGAAAAGAGTAAAGGAAAAACTGGGCTACTGTTACTGAGAGTGCTTTGCTTGGAGTAGATTTCAAATCGTTTTCCAAAAAGAATGAAGAATTATAAAATTACGGGCTCTTTTCCTGTAGTTGTATATTTTGTCCTAATTTATTACAGTAATAAATCTTTCTGAAAGCACAACATTGTATCAGATATACAGTGCCTTTGGAAAGTATTCAGACCCCTTGACTTTTTCCAAATTTTCTTACGTTACAGCCTTTTTCTAAAATTGATGAAATAAATAAAATCCTCAGCAATCTACACGTAATAAAAAACTGAAATACCTTATTTACATAAGTATTCAGACCCTTTGCTATGAGACTCGAAATTGAGCTCATGTGCATCCTGTTTCCATTGATCATCCTTGAGATGTTTCTACAACTTGATTGCTGTCCACCTGTGGTAAATTCAATTGATTGGACATGATTTGGAAAGGCACACACCTGTCTATATAAGGTCCTACAGTTGACAGTGCATGTCAGAGCAAAAAACAAGCCATGAGGTCGAAGGAATTGTTCGTAGAGCTCCGAGACAGGATTGTGTCGAGGCACAGATCTGGGGAAGGGTACCAAAAAATGTCTGCACCATTGAAGGTCCCCAAGAACACAGTGACCTCCATCATTCTTAAATGGAAGACGTTTGGAATCACCAAGACTCTTCCTAGAGCTGGCCGCCCGGCCAAACTGAGCAATCGGGGGAGAAGGGCCTTGGTCAGGGAGGTAACCAAGAACCCGATGGCCACTCTGACAGAGCTCTAGAGTTCCTCTGTGGAGATGGGAGAACCTTCCAGAAGGACCATCTCTCTGCAGCACTCCACCAGTCAGGCCTTTATGGTAGAGTGACCAGACGGAAGCCACTCCTCAGTAAAAGGCACATGACAGCCCGCTTGGAGTTTGCCAAAGGCACCAAAAGACTCTCAGACCATGAGAAACAAGATTCTCTGGTCTGATGAAACCAATATTGAACTCTTTGGCCTGAATGCCAAGCATCACGTCTGGAGGAAACCTGGCACCATCCCTACGGTGAAGCATGGTGGTGGCAGCATCATGCTGTGGGGATGTTTTTCAGCGGCAGGGACTGGGAGACTAGTCAGGATCGAGGGAAAAATGAACGGAGCAAAATACAAAGAGATCCTTGATGAAAACCTGCTCCAGAGCGCTCAGGACCTCAGATGGGGAGAAGATTCACCTTCCAACAGGACAACGACCCTAAGCACACAGCCAAGACAACGCAAGAGTGGTTTCGGGACAAGTCTGAATGTCCTTGAGTGGCCCAGCCAGAGCCCGGACTTGAACCCGATCAAACATCTCTGGAGAGACCTGAAAATAGCTGTGCTGCAATGCTCCCCATTCAACCTGACAGAGCTTGAGAGGATCTGCAGAGAAGAATTGGTGAAACTCCCCAAATACAGGTGTGCCAAGCTTGTAGCATCATATCCAAGAGGACTCGAGGCTGTAATCACTGCCAAAGGTACTCCAACAAAGTACTGAGTAAAGGGCCTGAATACTTACGGAAATGTCATATTTCCGTTTTTTTTATAAATTAGCAAACTTTTCTAAAAACCTGTTTTTGCTTTGTCATTATGGGGTATTATGTGTAGATTGATGAGAGGAAAAAACTATGTAATACAGTTTAAAATAAGGCTATAATCTAAAAAAATAATGGAAAAGTCAAGGGGTCTGAATACTTTCCGAAGGCACAATACATTCTTTGAAAAAAAGGGTTCTTCAGCTGTCCCCATAGAATAACCTTTTTTGGTTCCAGGTAGAACCCTTTTGAGTTCCATATAGAACCCTCTGTGGAAAGGATTCTAAATAGAACCCAAAAGGGTTCTACCTGGAACCAAAAAGGGTTATTCAAATGTGTCTCCTATGGGGACAGCCGAAGAACCCTTTTAGGTTCTAGGTAGCACCTTTTTTTCGAAGGGTGTACCTATAGATTTTCACAGTGCCAGGTTGGCTAAACCCTTACAATTAAAAGTTGTCACAATCCAATGAATCCCAGGTGCGGTAGCCTACACACTCACCACAACCTCTTCCTCATTTGCATCTCCACAGGTGCCCCCCTGGTCACATGATGAAGAAGAATGCCTCGGGCAAGGTGTGCGTCTACACGCTGTGCGCCAGCAGGCCCTGTCGCCATGGCACCTGTGTGGCCCACTCCCCCGCCAAGTACTCGTGTCACTGCTCGGAGGGTTATCGCGGGCGCCACTGTGAGGTCTCTCTGGCGCTCTACCACAACGATGACAACAACACGCTGAGCCTCAGCTCTGCGTTTGCCATCAGTATCTGTGTCCTGGCCTTCCTAGGTAGCTATATGGACTACGTCATCTACTACCTGTGGTGAACATACCGTCTTTCATCTTCACTCTCTCATCTGGTTTCATCTAGTTAAATGTGATTTCATCTGGTTTTGGTTGTTCCCAAGGCTGGAATTTAACGGAACACACCATATTAACGTTTATGCAGTGTCATTATTTATAAACTGGGTACACAGATTTCTAGATCTGAGAACTGAATGCTTAAACCTGTGAGACGTGTCTACCTGGTAATAGGTTATTGCAGTACCCAAAACCATCTGTGATTTTATTTGGCCATGGGAAAAAGAGATACTGTACTGCAGTGTGGGTTCGATGGTATTGAGCCCCAAGTGTTTTGTTAGTTTGGATCTCAGGATCTGTGAGTGGCCTCAGTCAGTGTGGCTGCATGGGTCCTGGCTAGAAACATTGATTTTGTTGACTCTGTGAGCCACAAGAAAACTCAGAAAGCTTTCACTGGGTCACAGTTCAAAAGGTTTGATGGCCCTTCAGTCATCCCCTCCTCACATCTATTTTGTCTTTCCTGATGTTTGTGATGTAAATTCAGACTTTTATTTGTCATCCTCCTTTGTCTTACCTTTTTATCTGTCCAACTTGTTTTATCTCATCTGTTTGTCATTCCAGTCCTGTTATGTCTGTTTATGTCTGTTTTTATCTCTCCCTCCGTATTTCTTTGTCAATTACTTTCTCCTCCCTTCTTCCTCTAACCTAAATGTGTCCATGTCTGGGGTCATTCCACCAATTCAGTGCCTTTTGAGAAGTGTAACTCTGATTTCACCCAATTTCAACATTCTGCTACAAAGAGCACATGTTCAACTTAATAAAAAACACGTTTTCCCATCTCAAGAGTGCCAAATAAAGAAACAGGGTTGACGATTGCTTCTTAAATCAGCAATGAATCCCCTTGTGACAGGCAGAATGGAAACTTGTTGTGTGAAACAGGGAGTGGCAATTGAATGCAAGCTTCGCAAAAAAATATTACATTGTTAAAACATTTCTAGCCTGTCTGTACATGGGTAACAGGGTTGAGGTGTGATGCTCGACCCACTCAGTTTTCCACCACAAAACACCAGAAAATGGTCAAAAAGAGTAGAACCAGCTCACCTGCTTTTACAATATGATTTGACTATTAGATGTTCAATGTTTCTTTTGAAAAAAATATTTAAAAAGGAATAGTTTCACCATATAAAAAAAAAAGAATTCAGTTCACATAACAGGACCGACCCAAAAATGAGGGAGAGACGTAAATTAATCACTAATCACATGAAATAAATAATAATCTTCAAATGACTTTGTCAAAGCAACAAAATAACTAGGGCTTTGCAATGATGGTGAAATTTGGATAAATTTTGGGGTTACTAGAAGTGACAGGGTTGATGAAGGGCACTTTTAGCAAGCCTTTATTCATATAGAAAATCAGATTGAATTAATTATTTATGTAGTCTATATTAAAGGGCACTTCATTTAATATAACAGGCTTTTAAAATTCAATATTGGTGCACAATTTCTGTTTAATATGTCAAAGGGCACTCATTTCGTGGAACGACCCATTTGTTTGTGTTGTTATGTCCAGTGCAGAGGGCTATCTCTCCATGGAGCTACTACTATACAGTTTATGAGGCTCTCTGTCACAAACAAGGTTATAAAATGGTCTGACGATTCAATACACAGCCTCTGCTACCTCTTTAACTGACTCAACAACCCAACACCTTCCTGGGGCATTTGGCTGGTGAATTGCAACATCAGTTATTTTGACACGCTGGCTCCCTGAGAGAAACCGATAAAACGCTACTTCAGTATTTGATATAATGAATACAAAGATAACAAACTGAGGCCTTGGCATCATTTATGAACATTAATGTGTTGAATGTGTAAATGAAACTGCCTGATGGCGTCATCTAAGGTACCTAGTTGTTACAGTTACTTTAGTTCCTGGCATTTATAAGCTCCACTCAAACTTTTGACCTCCAGAGGAATTAGGCTAATTCCTCAATATATATCAAATTGGAAGTGGGAGGTCACCA